AACCGCGCCCGCCACTCCCCGCCATGCGCGGCCAGCCGCTGCAGGAAGCCCCGCATGCGCGCGACGTCGCCCGCGCCGTATGCCTCGTAGTCGGCGGGCATGTTCCAGCCAAACGAGAGGCCGAAACGGAACTCACAGACGGCGTCGCGGAGCATCGCATGCACCTCCGCCTCGGGGAGTGACAGAAACGAGGCGCTGCTGCTCGGCTCCTCTGCGGCGTCACCAGCCGCGACAACGTCAGCGTTCCACCAGAACGCGAAATGCAAACTCAACCTTTCATACAACGCGGAGGAATCCACAAGCAGTTGATGCGATAGGCGTGCCGCCGCAGGCTCCTTGAAGTCGAGTTTCACGACACCCACCCGCCGCTCCTGCGCGTGCACGATGCCAGCGAGCGTCTCCAGCCACTCGGAAAGCGTGACGCAGCCCGCAGCGGCCGTGTCGACCGGAGGAAACGGGTCGTGGCGCAGTACTGGCACTGCACTCTTGTGTGGCACGCGCACGTCCACCTCGAGGCCAATCGGGTGCTGCGCCGCATCCGTCACGAGCGCAGCGGCGGCCCCCTGCAGCGCAGCGATGGAGTTGGTGGCGTGTGACCACCGGCGGGGCACGGCACTCAGCGTCGCCGGAGTCGAGCGGTGCATCCTGCCAGTGTGCGTGGGCGCTGCTGAATGTGTTATATTCTCCCCGTTTGAGGACTGACCCCCGAAACAATACCCCCTCGCACACCTATATAAGGAAGTAGAGGGAGGGAGAGAGAGAGAGAGAGAAATCATAAGAAAAAACAAAACAAGAAAATGAGAATGAAATAAATGGCGACGCCGCATTTCCACCACGAAGGTGTTTCGGTACCCTGCTGAGTGACGCCTCTCGATATACCTGTCGATACCGGCCGATGAGAACCGTGCGTACACAATTATATATGCCCGCATGCATGCGCGTGCGTCAACGCCATCTGTTGGCCCCGTACTGCACTGACGGGTGCGTCCCCCACCCACCACCGCTGCGCCCCAGCACAGGCGAAGAAGCGGAGCTCATCACTTGTGCATCACCACTGTGCGGAAAGCGAAGGCCTCTCCACAAATGAATAGAATAAAAACGGCTGTTTCACACCATTCACTAGTCCCCCGCGGTAGCATAACAGGAGAAGGAGACAACAACGACACATACGTGCAACAGGTCAGCCATAACTGTGAAGTGAAATCGGCGTTTTGCTTTCGTTCTCTTCTTGCCTCTCTCGCACTGCAATGCGCTATTGCTAGGGGATGATACCACGGCCATTCCACGAGAATGACTCTGCCCGGATCCGCGCACACGTGCGGACACCAAACCAAGAGAGAGGTAATGACAAGTGCGTCTCTCCAGACGACCCATCTGAATGCGCTGCGCACACCGGCTTTACTACCAACAAGCAGTCGCAGAAGCAGCAACAGTAGTATTAGTAGCAGTAGTAGTCGTAGTAGTAGTTGTTCGGAATTGCCTCACTCAGTGCTGTTTCTAACTTCTGCGAAGCAGAGGCTCCAACAGAGCTCATTGAAGAGCAATCTTGGCTTTGCCCGTCGTCTTCGTCTTGGCCCTATTGAGTACCTGAAGGCTCATCTCCACCCGCTTCCGCATCATGCTGTGCATGTACGTCCTCCCCGCGTGGATGTGGTACGCGAGCGTGCTGCGGAAGTTCACTAGCTGTGTGACGGTCTCTACGAGGTGCTCCATTGGCTCCATCTGCCGCCTAAACAACTGGAAGCTGCACCAGAAGACACAGGGATCGCTCCCACACGCGACTGGCATACCCTTAGGCATCGAGTCAGGGACTTTGCCGTGGTCAAACGCAAAGGCCGGTGCCGCGCTGATCTCACGCTGCAGCTTCTTGGCATCCATCATGGTCTGGAGGAAGTGCCGCGTAAAGACCGCCTCGTCCTTTGAGGCGACGCGCAGAGCCACAAGGACGAGAAAACTTCCCTTGTGGCTGAACAGCAGCATCTCCTCCCCCGCGTGGTAGTGCAGCAGCATCGGCTTCACAAGCTCCGGCCGCGTCAGGTACACCTCGCACTGTCGGGCAAATACGGGGATATAGCTCCAGATGCGCAGCTGCCCTGCCGCCTGCAGCGCCTCACACCGTGTTCTCTCCGACGCGGCTGCGGGAATGCGGATCTCCACCACAAATTCCCCGCTGCTACGGCCAAACGTATCCGACTTCAAAAACTTGCGGAGAGGTGGCGGGAAGAGGGTCGAAAGGACCTCGTCAAAGTTGTGGTGAGCATCCAGCTCATTGAACGGCGTCGTGTGGCGAAGCGCGACCGTCACCGAGGCACAGCACTGCTGATCCGCCTGGCCACCAGCGCTGTTCCCGTCCCCCTCCCCTTCCCCAGCCGCCGCTGCTGCTGCCTGCTGCCGCTCAACGCGTATATGGTACTCGCAGCCGTCAAAGTCCCGCACAACGGTGGTGGGCGTTTTGTTCGCCCCTGCTAGGACGCGGTCAACGGCGGCTTGGATGGACGGGTGCACCTTCTCCAGCAGAAGCATCGCACAGCTGTCCGCGTCGTTGGAAAGATAAACCAAAAAGAGAGGGGCGTTGCAGCGCAAAGCGAAGAAATAAAAAAAAAAAGCAAGACAGACGCAAGTTACAACACCCCGCACAAACTCTCTCTCGTCCTGCCACGAGGGGGATGCGGCCAGTCGCCCATCGGTGGGCCAACAAAACATGCATGCGCGTTACCATCAACAGACGAAGACCTTCTCACCGCAGTCTTCACACACCAAAAAGTAAAAGACAGGCGCATTGGCGTCAAACCGCGGAGGCCACGCGCACCCCTCCTCTTCTTCCTCCGCCAGGGCCCTCTCCTCGCCCATTGCCACAAAAAGCGGACTCCGCTCCGCTACGATGCTCCACGCACAACCTCCACCACGACGCGGCTGCGGCGACTCACCGTCTCGCTCGCACAATTGGAGGTGCGCGTCCAATGCACCGTAGAAGCGGCGCAGCAGTCCCTCGGCACGGATGCCGGAGAACGCCATGCTGGTGTCTCGCCACAGCAGCTCACGGTGCGGACACGCCGTGCGGTTCGTGCAGAGGTGGCCTTCTACCACCACCTCCACCTCCTCCGTTGCTCTCTCAACACCGTCAGCATCAGTATCAGCGGGAGGCTGCAGCAGGTAACCGTCACTGCACCACGGGCAACGCAACAGCCGCTGCTGCTGCTGCTTCTCCTGATGTGAACGCCCCACTGAGAGTGGAAGGACTTCACGCTCATCGCGACCCCGCTTCTTGTGCGAGCCGCCTTCCTTCATTTCGCCACATACGCCACTACGACAACTTTTGAAGGGCAGGAGAAACGAAAAACAAAAACAAAAAAAAAAAAAGACACACAAGAGAGAAAATGCGTGTCTTCGCCCTAGTTACTCAAATCAAGCAGACCCCAATAGCAGAACGAGTGACAGCAGCGGTGAGAGCGGAGGGTTAGGGGGAGGTTCCGTGGCACGTAGAAGATTTGCCTTTGAACGCAAAGCAGGAGATGCCTGAAGGAATAATTCATCTCCCACTGCACACAGACTAACACCAAAAAAAGGTGTCACGTAGAAGACAAGAAAAAAGTTGAAGGAAACACACAAAAACAAAACGAACATAAAACCCGTCATATGCTAAATCCTATCTTACTGCTTCTCAGCCCTTTAAAAAACGAGAAGAATAAAACGTAAATAGATTTCAGCGTTCTAATTTTTCTTTTTAGAAATATCACGCCGTCGATTAAGAACAAAAAAATCGTCTTCTTTTGTGGCTGTAACTCAGTCCCTCCTGTTTTCATTATTTACGAGAACGGCTCATGCTTGGCCCCCCTGAACATCCATTTATACCCATCCCCTTCCTATATTAGGCGGAGACAATGGCATCCAGAGCAATGCGGATGCCGTTGGCGAGCGCCGTCTTCGTCTGCTCAGCCGTCGCAAAAATATGCTGGTCCCCAGCACGCGTCGCCACCACCGCACACACCGTCCCCGACTGGTACCCCAGCAGGTTCGACAGGTAGCACAGTGAGCTCGACTCCATCTCGATGTTGGCCACAAACTCCGTGCCTTCGCTCACATTGAACTTCAGCTTCGAGAGCTCCGCCACCAGGTTCGGCACCGTGAGGTGCTCGCGGAAGCGGCCCACAGCGCGACCCTGGCAGGCGTAGAAGCCGCTTGCCGTGGCGGTGGTGCCGACAACGTACGCCTGCTCCGGCGTGCCCGCCGCCCGGCTGCTGTTGAACGCCTCGCACGCCGTCACAATGCTCTTCGTGATGGCGGGGTGCGCCTTCGTGGTGTACACGTCGATGGCCCCGAGACCCGACTGCTCGCGCGTCACGCGGCGCACCTCCTCCAGGTCCTTCGACGGCGCCGTCTTGCCACCCTTGTAGAACAGGCACGTGTTGTCCATCCCGATCACGTAGCGCGTGATGGCGAGCGCCGAGATGGGCATCTCGGGGTAGGGCGAGCCGCACGTGCCGACGCGGATGAGTTTGACCGATGAGGGGTCGAAGAGTTTCGCGTCCTTCGGCGCAGAGGCATCACCGACACGCGGGCGCCACTGGCGGGTCTCGAGGTCATACTCCTTCAGCACGTGGATCTCGTTCACCACAATCTCAACGTTGTCCGTACCCATACCGGTGCTCAGCACAGACACGGGTGTGCCCTTGTACGTTCCGGTGGCGATGAAAATCTCACGGTGCTCGCTGCGGAAACGAATGCTGCCCGCGTCGAAGAACTCGGCAACATACTTCACGCGGCCCGGGTCACCGACGAGGATGACGCGGTCAGCAAGGTCGCTGCTCTTGCAGCTCAGGTGGTACGTGACACCGTCCGCGGTGACGGGAAGGTTAGGGTCCACCTTTGTGTCGTTGCCGAAAGCGGAGTTTGACATGTTGCTGTTGTGTTTGTTGTGATTAACGTGTAAGAAGGCAGAATTCTAACGGGTCCACCACAGAATGGTTCAAGAGGAGACCGGGAGCAAAGAACAGCAAGAAAAGTGGCACACCTAACTGCAGGAGAGGCCATGCAGGAGCCCAGGAGCAGCAGCAGCGGCGTCGACAGGTAAGCAGAGGAATACGGGTTAGTGCACATGATGCAAGACAACGTGCCTGAATGTGAGTGTGCTTGTCCCATAGTCGAAGTCCAGAAAGATACAAATTACTTTTCGAAGGGAATAAATAGCAGTAAGTTTATGACGTGTATGTGCCTGCGTATATGGCACAGCCGTTTGAAGAAAAAATCAAATGCTCTTGGGAGAACAAGGTGCTGCACAAACCTTGCTGAGAAATGTAGACTCGTGTGAGCATGCGACACGCCCACAGCATGTGACGCTGTGTCTGCGGTCCCATACTACTTTATTATACATCTCAGCCGGATGTATCTGTTGCTGCTGCGGTGCATGCACTTGGTGTGTACGCGGCTTGTAACGTAGAGCCTATGCGGTGTGGCGCTTGGATCTCCAACTTCGCGCGTTCCTTTTTGAACAAAGTGCCCACGTACGTCTCCTGCCAACGTACACCCTTCACTGTCGCCCCCCGCCTCCCCAATACGCATTCAACATACCCTTCCTCAAACCGCCATGACGCGTGCACGCATCCATCGTGCCTGATGCCTCGCCGTCGATACTTCCATGTTTTTTGTTGAGGGGCGTAATTATTCTGTCAGCGTCGACGAGCGCAGCGCTGCCCAGCCCAGCCCAATAGCAACTCTTAACTGTGAAAGAAAGCAACAAGCAACAACATTCCATGTCTTGCCCTTTCCTTTTCTCCCCTCCTCTTTAAAGCAACAACAACAACAAAGAAAGCCGGTGGTCGGTGTCGCCCGCTTCGAGTCTTCCACTTATTTGTGACTATGGGTCTTGTCTGCCCACATCTTGGCATACTCATACGATGTCGACGCCAACACCCCATCTATTAGACACGTCCCCACACTGAGTGCGAGTCCCCCGTAGAAGCCGCTAAGTCCTCGTGTGCGGTACACTTCTCGTGCGACTTGCCAGAGACGAGCATTTGGCGTCACCTGCAGGTTGGCGCGCAAAACCAAGTACGGGTTGAATAGCACGGCTGTGGTGGTACTGGTGAATATGGATGCCACTGAGTTTAGCAGGACATTGTCGTCCTTCGCCAAGAGCCAGTGTCTCCACGAGTGTAGGCCCATCGCTGCCTGCTGCTGCACCTGGTCCTCTTCCTCCAAAAAGGCGCTGGCGGCATCGTACAGCCGGCTCTTGGTGCCGCCGTACAAGGCCCACCACACCGCTGTCCATTGGCAACCGACTAGAAGTGTCGTGCCGTAGCCGGCAAAGACGGTGCGCATCCCACCCTCGCGGTACATCCCCGCCAGTGTTTGCAGCATGTTCTTTGTTCCGTGTGCTCCCTTGACTCCCGTGTTTCTCGCTGTCATCTGCCGCAGCGCGACGATGCTGAGCGGGAGGTGGACCAGCCGGCAGACGGCGTCCGATATGTACCCCGACACCGCATCCCGCGATGCGTCCGTCTCTAATGGAAGGCGCTCCCTGCTGTATTCGAAGAGCCACAGATAGAGCGCTTCGCTGAGTGCGCATCCAAACGTCAGCGCCGTCATCCCCTGCGCGAGGCCACGCAGACGTCCCTCCGTCCTGTAAACGTGCCGCACAATCTGCGCTGCACTCATGGATCCCGCAGTACTGCATGTTTGTTGGCGCGCTAAGGCAAGGTTAAGGGGCTGCTGCAGCGCGGTCCGCATCCAGCAAAGCGCGGCGGCGTAAATGACAAACCGCGCAATGTCTAAGTCAGAGTAGCTCCTGTTAATGCTGTTCGTGTGATCGTGTGGGCACACCTCCCTGGCGTGCAGCGAGACGGCGCAGAGCGCAGGTGTGGCGCCGGAGTCGTCTTCCAGAGGCGTCTCCACATGCGGGATGAAGGTGGGGCTGTACATTGCAAGATACCTTCCTCACCTCCTCTATTGCTTTCTTGTGAAAAACAAAACAAGAAAGAATTATTGTCTCCGTCTTTCGACTA